CCTATAAATAGAACAGGACATTACCCCAGTATCATTGAATAATTTGTCCAAGAGTGATACCACCTAAATATTTCACTTTTTATGTGACTTTTCATGTAATATAATGGATTATAACTTTGATTAAATGTGGTAGGCCCACGTGCACACATGAATAATGATACAATGACTATGTATATGAATGACCAGACTCATCTAATCAATGTAATTATGGCAAATAAAATAATTAAACATAACTATTATAAGAATAATGTTATATGTATTAATTAATATATTAATTAATGTATCAATTGATGATGTAGTATAATTTAATTTTTTTTTTTTGATATTTGTAATTTGTGTAATGAGTGGGGTCAATAACAATGTCTTAACTAGTGTCAGTACACTAGTTAGAATACTAATTGATGCATGTAGCACTGCCGCTATTATAATATTAGTTGTGTTACATGCATTAATTGGTATATGAATTAATATACCAATATATGTTATGCTATTTTTCAACAATGATTGAGACCCTCATTTTTTAGAGACCCCCACAACCCCTTTTGATCTCCACCATTGATGATGTGGGCCCCACACATACATGAGTGGGTCTCATACATACATCAATGGTAGAGATTTAAAAGGAGTTGTGGGGGTTTTCAAAAAATAGGGGTCTCGAGCATTTTTCATTATTTCTAACCTATTCATTATACAAATTATAAATACTTAAAACTTTTAAAATTATGTCACATTATTTGTTAATACAATAATTAATATATTAATTGATATATATATATATATATATAATATTGTTCTTATAATATTAATCATGAAATTAAAAAGTAAAATAAATGCAATCATAAATAGCATTATAGTGATGATACAGCCATTTAGTAGTTGTTTATTATTATTTTTCTGGTGTATATATGACAAATTTGGTAGTGGAGTTTATTCTTCCTATATGGGTTTATTCATTATTAATTAATGATAGAATGGATTCGTCTCAGAAGTAAGTTTTTTTAAAAGTTAACTTATAAATTTCATGTATATCACAAGACAAAATATTAAATTACTTCAAATAATTATAATGATTTTTTTTTTAATTTATAAAGTCTCGTGTATAGCACAAATTATCAATAGTAATTATAAATTAAATGTAATATTTTATTTTATCAAACTAAAAAACTTATTTTTTTTCTTTTTATGATTATTTTAGGCATAAAAACCCAACCCCTCCCTTCCCAAACGAGCCCATGTATCACACTACTAATAAGGTGATATCACCATTGTTCTCTTATTCGACCAATAAAATGATGACAAATCAAATAATAAAGTCAATAAGATATAACAACACATGTTCAAAGAAAAAATAAAATAAAAGGTAAATTACACCAATAATCCTTATATTTTATTTCTTGTGTCATTTTAGTCTCTATATTTTTAATTGACTCAATTTTAATGTTTAATTTTAGATTTTGTGTCAATTTGGTTTAATTAATAATATCGTTTGTATTTTTTAAGAAAAATTGTCACTAAATTAGTTAAGGTTAACTTACTGAGTTTGGTAAGTATATAATTTTGTCTTTAAAAATATGACACATGCCATTTATGCTCATATTTTTCATAAAGAAATGTTACGAGTTATAATCAATTAAATTAAATTGAGACAAAATCATAAATTTAAGGTTAAAATTGATTAAAATAATAAACATTAAAATGACACAACGATTAAAGTATAATACTACCAATAATTTGTCCAAAAATAAAATAGAAGTATAACAACAATATCATTATAACATTGCTTATAAAATAAAATAAAAAAGTAAAATAAAGAGTAATGCTATATGTATCAATTAGTACACTAAATAATGTATCAATTGATGATGTGACATAATTTAAGATGTTTTTAATATTTATAATTTATATAATGAGTAAAGTTAATAATAATATCATAATTAATATTAATATATTAATTAATATATTAATTGGTGTATGTAATACTACTCTAAAATAAATGGTGTTATAGCATTTTTGATAATAAAACTAACAGCGGTGCTAGAGGCCTCGAATTTGCCTCGACAACATAAATTTTATCGAATTTGCCTCGTTATTTTTTTAAGGGTGGTTTATGTTAGGAGTGGGTTTAAGGTTTAGGGTTTACAGTTTTAGGATTTAACATTTAGGATTTAGGATTTGGGATTTAGGATTTAGGATTTAGGATTTAGAGTTTAGAATTTTATGATTTACCATTTAAGGTTTAGAATTTAAGATTTAGAGTTTAAGGCACACATAACCACCTTTCAAAAAAAAAAAAAAAAAAACATGATTTGAGGCATTTGAGCCTTGAATCCTCGAGGCCTCTAGCACGGTTGCAACCTAAATTATGGTGGAACATGACTGTCGTCAGTATCATTCTTTAATCAATCCACAAAGAAACAAAGAAAGAAAGCAAAATCTCTGCCATGAAGAAAAGGGCTTCAAATCCTCTATCCCACTAGCTTGTACCAATTTTCTGTCGCATTATTCTTGTGCCACCACATGTAAAAGATAAAACATTATCAAATTTACATTTCAAAAAAATATGGTATAATTATACCAAAATTGTTATTGAATTATAATTTATTAATTAGTCAGATTGGTATAATTTATCCTAAGACTATGTTTGGATAATAAAATTTGAGTAAGAATTTATGAAATGATTCTTTTGCACTTGTTGACTTTTGGTGAATAGTGTTAACTTTTTAACTTTTTGAGTAACTTTTTGACTTTTTGACTTATTTGGGACTTCCCAAACTTAGCCTAAATGTGTTAAAAGTGATCCACATATCTGACGTGACGACTTCCATGTTCACCGTTAGCATCACGAGTATTTTTAAACAGAACATTGCAATTTACATCTAATATTAATCATGAAATTAAAAAGTAAAATAAATGCAATCATAAATAGCATTATAGTGATGATACAGCCATTTAGTAGCTGTTTATTATTATTTTTCTGGTGTATATATGACAAATTTGGTAGTGGAGTTTATTCTTCCTATATGGGTTTATTCATTATTAATTAATGATAGAATGGATTCGTCTCAGAAGTAAGTTTTTTGGTTTTTTCATTTTTTTAGTTATTTTAATTTGGGATAAAAAAGTTTTATTTAGAAAGAATTTTTGATTTTTTTTTTACTTTTTTGTAATTAAAAGATATATACTAATTATAAATTAAATATAATATTTTATTTTATCAAACTAAAAAACTTTTTTTTTCTCTTCTTTTTATGATTATTTTAGGCATAAAAACCCAACCCCTCCCTTCCCAAACGAGCCCATGTATCACACTACTGATAAGGCGATATCACCATTGTTCTCTTATTCGACCAATAAAATGATTACAAATCAAATAATAAGTCAATAAGATATAACAACACATGTTGAAAGAAAAAATAAAATAAAAGGTAAATTACACCGATAATCCTTATATTTTATTTTTTGTGTCATTTTAGTCTTTATATTTTTAATTGACTCGATTTTAACGTTTAATTTTAGATTTTGTGTCAATTTGGTTTAATTAATAATATCGCTTGTATTTTTTAAGAAAAATTGTCACTAAATTAGTTAAGGTTAACTTACTGAGTTTGGTAAGTATATAATTTTGTCTTTAAAAATATGATACATGACATTTATGTTCATATTTTTCATAAATAAATGCTACGAGTTATAGTCAATTAAATTAAATTGAGACAATATCATAATTTAAGGTTAAAATTGAGTCAATTAAAATGACACAAAGATTAAAGTACAGTACTACCAATAATTTGCCCAAAAATAAAATAGAAGTATAACAACAATATCATTATAACATTGCTTATAAAATAAAATAAAAAAGTAAAATAAAGAGTAATGCTATATGTTTCAATTAATACACTAAATAATATATCAATTGATGATGTGACATAATTTAAGATGTTTTTAATATTTATAATTTATATAATGAGTAAAGTTAATAATAATATCATAATTAATATTAATATATTAATTGATGTACGTAATACTACTCTAAAATAAATGGTGTTATAGCATTTTTGATAATAAAACTAACAGCGGTGCTAGAGGCCTTGAATTCGAGGCCTCGAATTTGTCTTGACAACATAAATTTTATTTCATTTATTTTTTTATTTTTTTAAGGGTGGTTTATGTGTAGGAATGTGTCAAAAAATTAGACATTTCACACTAACTTATCGTATAAAATTATATAAAATTAACAAAATTTAACCAACAGACTAACTGATTAATCAATTTTATCACTCAACCAGTCCAACCTAATTGACTGATCAGTTAAGTTGCTGGTTAAATTTTATTAATTTCATATAATTTTGTATGATGAGTTGGTGCGAAATATTAGTTTTTTGACACATCCTTACACATAACCACATTTTAAAAAAAAAATACCAAACTAACATAGTCCAACAAATAAAATAAACCAACATAGCCCTACAAATAGAAGAAAAAAGAAAAAAAAAAAAACTCAGCCAATGTAGTTTGATAAGCTGAGTGAGTTGAGTTAGACTTTATCAAATTATATAGGCTGAGTTAGTGCGAGATGTCTAATACACATTACCACCCTTGCAAAAAAGAAACAAAAAAAAAGATAGAAAAAAAAATTAAAAACAAAAACCCAAACACACTGTCAAAAAAAAAAAAAAAAATTTCGAGGCAATTTCGAGCCTCAAATTCAAGGCCTCAAGCATTAATCTAAACAACAATGCTAGGTAGCTCAAAATTTTGTGACTCAAGTGGCTCAAATCACTCAAAACGACGTCGTTTTGACAAATTTTGAATGTAAAACGACATCGTTTTGACAGATTTGAGCCATTTGAACCACAAAATTTTGAGCTACCAAACATTTTCCTAATCTACAACTAATGGAAGAAGAGACCAAATTGAATGCCGCCTCCACCTCATCATGACAACTTTTGAGACAAAGAAGTTATTGATAACCTAACAAATGCCCCCATGTGGCCTCAACTGTATACTGTACTCCTCCTACGCATTCAACCAAATGTTGAGTCTTTATTTAAATGATGTTGTTGGTGCCAGCTTCTCTCTCCTAAACAATCGGACTGAGAGAAAACTCTCTTCTCTGCTTCAGCATCTGGGTTTTGATTGATTTTCCATACAATGAATGACAATAATAATTATAGCAATGAAGGGTCTGTTTGGAGGGGAAGAAAAAGAGAGATGGATCAAAATGCAGGGTTGAGCATAGACCGTACCAACAACAACAGCAAAAACAGGAAAAGCAAAAGCAAGAAAAACAGGGCTCTTCATGGGATCAGAAACAAGACTACAAAGAGATACGATCTGGTGACGTTTGAGGAATTGCCTGAGTACATGAAGGACAATGAATACATTCTCAATTACTACAGATCCGATTGGCCTCTCAAAGAGGCTCTTTTTAGTATATTCCGATGGCATAATGAGACTCTTAATGTTTGGACGTAAGTTTTTGCTTTTGATCTTTTTCATTTTTCTTTACTCAAATTATGTTTGTTTAAATTTTAATTGCATCGATTTTATCTTTTAATTTTTCACATCCTGCCAATTTCATTTAATTGACAATAATACTCTTTTAAAAACTGGACTAAAATTATAAAATAAAATAATCATTTTACCCTCATCAACATGATTGAAAAGTTTGCTGTCTACCATGAATGATTCATTTGGTCTGTGATTTTTCTTATCAATGGGAGTAATTTTGATACAATGTATTTGTTCTTTTTCTTTCTTTTTCTTTTTTGGATTCTCTCATATTATTATTGGTAAATATTTGTTTTGATATTACAGGCATTTAATTGGTTTTGCCCTGTTCTTGGGGTTGACAGTTGCTAATTTGATGCATGTATCTCAAGTGGCAGAGTTCTTTGGTATATTTACCAGGTATTTCCCATATATATCTTGAAGAATTCAATTCTCTCTTTATTTTAGTTTGATTTTGTTTTATGTTTGGATCATGGGTGAATTATAAGAGAAATATATACATATATTTCGTTAACATTTCATCAATTTTTTCTCTTTTTCTTTTCAAATTCTTACTGAAATTCATAATTTAAACAAAATTTTAATATGAATAAAAAATAAAACCACCTTTCTGGCTCTCTATTATAAGAAATAAATAGAGAAGGATATATTTTATTTTTTTTTTATTATGTATTATGGCATAATGAAACTTTAAAATTTGAAATAAAACCCACTTCTATTATAATCTGATAATATAGTAAGAAATTTGTAAAATTTCTTTGTTTGTATAGAATACTCAAAAACTATTTAGCATTTACATTATTTACGTTTAATTTGCCCAAAAAATTAGAAGAAGAAAAATTAGCATATCCTTTACATTTATTTTCCCCTTTTTTGACAGCAAATTTGGGTCCAAAGATGAGGGAAAAAAAAGTTAATTTTGACAAATTTAATTTAGAAATTAAAGTCTCTTTTGGCAAGTGACTTTTTCAGCCAAAAAGCAAAAAAGTCATTAAAAAAATCAAAAAACTAACAATCCATACCAAAAAGTTAAAGATTCTTTTTTTTCTCTATTTTTTGCACATTTTTTCGTAAAAAATTAAAAAGTCATTCCAAATATACTAATTTTTTTTATATCATATTTTAATCAAAAAATTAAATAATTACTAAAAAAGTCAGTTTCCAAACGAGGCCTGATGTGCATTCTCTTCCTTTTTCATACTTGGGTAGAAACCATCCTACAGCGAGGTCTTCTTCATGGCAATTAATAACCACGCAAGGATATTTTTACTAAATTGATTAATTGAGAAATTATATCCTCATGTGCCTGTAGTGAGTTTTAAGGAATGTATGATAAATAGCTAGTGAAATTACTAATATAGACTTGTCATCCTTGCGCATTTTCCTTTCTAGATTTTTATCTTTTATTTATTTTTTAAGTTTTAATTTTTAATTTTATACCAACGAGTAACACACACTCACCCTCAAAAGACACAAATCTTTTCAAAGATTTTTGTCAGCCCAATTATATTCAACAAGAGAAACGACAATCCTCATGTGCCTGTACTGAGTTTTCTCTAACAATTAATTCATGGAAAATGAGTGAGAGTACTAATTAGTGCTATTATTAATGACGTAGTAGTGGGTCTCACTATGAATGATTTGATGTTTTAATTTTGGTATTGTATTTTTTTTTTTTTTTATTGAGTGCCATGTCATTAGTGATCATTTTAGAGTTCCAAAATTAATAGTCTCTGTGATTGTTGTTAATTCAATTCACATTGGAACGGTCAAACAAAAGGGTCACCTGGCATTATAAACAAAGCGTCACATAAAGACAAAAATATTCACTTTGATTTTAATTTTTAAAATTCACTTTTTAAATTTTTTTTTTATTTTTCATATTTTTTTATTAGCATTAAATTTTTTTTAATATTTTAAGCAATTTAAAAAAAAAATTAGACACACTTAATATAAATATACTTAAAAAGTATAATTTTTGTGAAAAAAAAAATTTTAAATACATTCACTAAATGTCAAAAATACAATAATGCACCAATAAATCTCAAATTAATAACTTATACACTGTTTAGTCTTAAAAGTTTTCTTATAGATTGAAAGGTCCCATTATAATGTTTCAAACATCAAATTAATGTTTCGAACATTAGATTTCAAACATCAGATTAATGTTTTGAACATTAGATTTCGAACATCAGATTAATGTTTCGAACATTAGATTGATGTGCAAATGGGACTAAATGGAGCATAAGAAAACTTTTAGGACTAAATGGTTCAACTTTTCAGAAACTAGGACTTATGGGTAAATTTTTCATATATATATATATATATGAAAATTCAATATATTTTTGATATTTTTATGTATTTATTTTATTTAAAAATATTTTTTTACAAATATTTTACTTTTTGATACATTTAAGTAAGTACATCTCAAAAAGTAAAAAATTTGCTTAAAATTATAAAAATATTCACTAAAAATAAAAAAATATGAAAAACAAAAAATTAAATCCAAAAAATTGAAACCAAACACATGTATTGTTGTTTCAATTCTTATTTTGTAGGGGACTAAACGTAATTTTTGTTCTCAAAGTCTACTTCATGTGTTATTTTAATCTTTAATTTTAGGTAATTAACACTTTGTCATTTTTATATTTGGTCATTTTTTTATTTTGACTCTTAAAATTTGTTTGTTCCCATTTTAATGCTTTACCTTTCAAATTTTTTCCACTATACTCCTAAAGTTAATTTCTATTAAAAATTATATCGAAAATGTTACAATAACTGTCCCATAAAATAAAAAATATATTGTTATATTGAAGTTTAAATTTATGTTAAAGGTGTGAGCTATATAGAATAAAAAAAATTATGCTACGTGGCAGTTAATGTATTATTTTCTATCTAATTTTCAAAATAGATTAACTTTAAGAGAATAAAGTGGACAAAACTTGAAATATGAAGGGACAAAATAGGAAAAAATAAATAAAAACCAAAGTAAAAATATGACTAAATATAAAGAGGATAAAATGTAATTTATCTTTAATTTTAGTTATGTTAATTTAATCTTTAATGTTTTAATAAATGTGTTAAAAGTGATCCACATATCTGACGTGACGACTTCCATGTTCACCGTTCACCAAGGATCCTCTAGAGTGAAATTTTCCTAAAGTTTCCTAGAGTGCTATATTGTGTGGTTGAGATTTACTGGCAAGTCACATCAGAAAAATTGATGTGACTTGCCAGTAAATCTCAACCATACACTGTAGCACTTTAAGAAACTTTAGGAAAAAATCACTCTAGAGGATCCTTGCTCGTTCACCGTTAGCATCACGAGTATTTTTAAACAGAACATTACAATTTACATCTTGGAAAAAAAAAAAAAAAACAGAGACTAAATACACTTTTTGACCCCATGTGTAGACGAACAGAAAACTTAACTATTGATCTAACCTTTGAGGTCGTCTTAATCAGAGAAGTAATTATGATTGAAGGAATTGGGGCAAAATCCTCAGAAAAATGGGCCACTAGAAGGCCAAACCAGATTTGACCCGCTGGATCCAAATAGACCTTCCACGACAAAGTACCTAAGGGAACCTGTAGAGGTACTACCTGCTGTGGTCTAGTAGCTCAGGTAACCCACCTCAGTGCAGCCATTCCACTAGAAGGTCATTGTAGTGCCGCCTTTGAGATTACTTGAAGTACATTTGCTAAGGGAAAAGTAGTCGAGGTACTACCAATTGCGGTTTAGTAGTTGAGGTGACCTACCTCAGCACCGACATTCTACTAGAAGGTCATTGCGGCACCGGCTTTGGGATAGTACTTGAAGTACACTTACTGAGGGAGGAGTAGCCTAAGTGACTGTAGCCTCAGCAACCACGTTCTGAAGCAAGACTTTCCAAAGGGATAACAGTCTTTGATGAATGCCTTCCTTCTGCAAATAGGGACTAACTTTGGCGTTGATAGTAGTCCCCAAAACATTACTAGCTCGGCGTTGATAGCCGACCCCGAAGTTCACTAATTCGGCGCTGATAACAGGTCCAAAAACTTACTAGTTAGAGTAGATAACAAGCTCCCAAGATACTAATATACCACGGCGATCCTATGAAGATGAGAGCAGGGCAGCTTGAAAGAAAGGGACTCTCTTTCCATTACTTAGGTCATGGACCTACCTCGATCGCAATGGCAGGACCAAAGAAGCCCTCTTAGGCTTGGTATCAAGGCACAGCACAGCTGATAGCAGGCTTATCAGTGGCCTTTACCCTGAGAAGCTGGGGAGTTTGTGGTTAGGTAGCTAAGGGTAGAGAAGTCACTGAGGTAGACACAAGTATGGCTAATAGCAGGTCAAAAGTCTTGAGAATGCATATATTAGGAAACTGAACTGAGAAGGCGGGTGTCGGAGTAAGTACTACCACAGAAGGTACCACCGAAGTGGGTGCACCTTTTGTGGTCTGTACCAAAAACGACACCTGCTGAGGTTTGTACTAGACAATGGCACTTGCTGAGTTTTGCACAAAAGAGGTACTTGCTGAGGTTTTGTGCTAAACAGATAGTATAGTAGTAGTTGTTGAGGTTTGTACGAAAAGGAACATGCAGAGGGAAACGTGTCTACCAAAGCCTCGTGGTTCAGGAAATGGAATATTTCATACGTCCTCTTAGACACATGTCATCACCTTATTTGGCCACTTGGTACTCTTAGTACTAAAGAAAAGCATATAAATAGACCTACTTTCCCAAGGTTTGAGAACTCAAGAATAAGACCAAAAGGAGAGAACTCTTGAGGGATTTGGGAAGGTGTTGCCCATTTCTCCACTGCTATATTCTTCTCTTGAACCACTTGCTCTACCTTCAACCGACTACACATTTTCCAACCTTCCTAAATTATTGATCCATTAAAATAGTTTTACCTCTCTAAATGATATTATTATTACTGTTCATTTTGAACCCCGTACATTGTGGCGACTCCGTTGGAGAGGCAACTTTGTTGATGGTCAATACTCATAACGGTTTACACACTACACCCAAAAAAAATGGCAGAAGACGAGGGTCACTAGCAACCTTAGCAGCAAGGGTGTCAGGTAGAGCAGCACATGCTAAGGTCCACGAGAGTAGTGTTGTAGCCGAGGCTATATAGTCTCTTTAGGATACTTAGAGGGAGATCTTAGCTGCCTTGCAGACTTTTATCAACGTTGTTTTGATGTTGGCACCCAAACCAGCTCCGATGCAACTTCCTTCACCTTTAGCAGTTCCAAATACTGAGGTCAACTAGTTCCCTAGAAACAAGGCTCTGATCTAGGTGCCTAACTTTTCGGTGATCCCACAGGTGAACAACACGGTTGTAGGTTCTGCTACTTAGGGACAGACAGGTTCCTTCTAGCCAAACCACTTCGTCACTACAAACGACGCTT